ATTTCATCCTCAATGGCTTTAGTGGTTGGTGCGTAAATTTGAATAAAAGTGGTATTAACTGGTCTTCCCTGTGGTTGTGTGCTGTGGAGTCAGTTCCGACTCATAGCGACCCTGTCCCGGGTTTCTGAGACTATAAATCTTTATGGGAGCAGAATGCCTCATCTTCCTCCCGCAGAACAGCTGGTAGTTTTGAACTGTTAATCTTGCGGTTTGCAGCCCGATTCATAACCACTATGCTACCAGAGCTCCTTGGTCTTCCCTGTAGGTGCATGGATATTATCCTATTACATACAGCGTTGTACCTCAGAACTGATCTGGATATGTTCTTTTTGACAACAAATGCAACACCATTCCTCTTCAATTTGTCATTCCCAGCCTAGTTCACCATGTGGTTGTCAGATTCAAAATGGCCAATATCAGTCCATTTCAGCTCACTAATGCCTAAGATATCGATGTTTATGCATTGCATTTCATTTTTGACAATTTCCAAATTTCCTAAATTCTTACTACGTACATTCCATGTTTTGATTATTAATGGACATTTACAGCTGTTTCTCTTCACTTTGAGTTGTGCCCCATCAGCAAATGAAGGTCCCACGGGTTTTACTCCCATGGGCTTTACTCCATTCACGTCATCACGGTCAACTCACTTTGAGGAGGCAGCTCTTCCCCAGTCGCATTTTGAGTGCCTTCCAACCTGAGGGGCTCATTTTCTGGCACTATATCTAACCGTATTTCTCTGCTATTCATAAGGTTTTCAGTGACTAAATAATTAGAAGTAGTTTGTCACTCCTTCTTCCTAGTCTGTCTTCATCTAGAAGCTCATCTGAATCCTCTCCACCATGGAAGACCCTGCTGGTATTTAAAATACAGGTGGCATAGCTTCCAGCATCATAGCAACTCACAAGCCAACACAGTATGACAAACTGACAGACGAGTGGTGGCTAGTCTCCTTACCCTCACCTAAAAAAAGAAAGGAAGGAAGAAAGAAAGAAACTCACCTATAAAAAAAGAGAAAATATTGATGATAATTGGAATGGAAATAAGAATATATGTCTGTATGTATATATCTATGTCTGTCCATCCATCTGTCCATCTACACATCCATCCATACAATCACCCATCCATCTGCCTAATCTGCTTGGCTATAACTAATCCAATACAAGGCTGAAACTTCATAACCCAAGTGTGTATAAAGGAAGGAGACCAGAGAAGGTCAATGTGGGTACTAATTCCAAGTCATAGATGCTATATCATTAGAGAGAGTTCTTCTATCAGTAGAATGTGATAGCTGGCAACTTTTCCAAATACTGAATAGAATGGAGGCTGGTATCTATGCCTTTTGGGGGTAAAACTGGTGGTAACAGGAGCTTAATGAAAGGATCAGGCAGGTGATTGGTCTTCAAGAAGCTTTATGAATACCTCCTCTGCTTTGCACTAGTGTCTCCTTGTTCATATGCAGTTTTGCAATGGTTTTCTAGATCTTTCCCAACCATAGGCTTTATTCCACTAAAAACGGTCAGTTCCTTAAGGCTAACGTTATAGACTCTCAGGATTGGGAGGGACCTTAAAGATCATTTAGTTCAACATCTTAACCTGGAGTCCTCCATGCCACCTCATGGTCTCCATTATTTCAACACTCCACCATCGGCTTATAATGCATAGGAATGGGCTTGTCTCTAACAGGTACTTAGGAATACTAGCTATAATAATAGGTAGCATTTACCTAGTGACTTCTGTATGTCAAGCATTTACATCTGAACATCCTCATTTTGAAAATGAGGAAGCTAAGGCTCAGAGAGGTGACTCTGGCTTGGCCAGGGTCACACAACTAGAGTTGGGATTTGAAAGCAGATATGCCCCGATTCTTCCAGAATATAAAGCTACCCAGATCCTTCCTGACTTACTAAAGAAATTGAGACATTCAAGCAACAATGAGAAGACCCCAAACTCAACTTCCTTTTGCAGGTTCTGAAGATATGGCCAGAAGTAGGGAAGGCAGTTGGTTTGTATGTGTTTGGTCATGTGGCAAAGTGAGGTCGCTGTTCCAGTGTTCACATGCTCTTTGGGGTACTCACATCAAGTGTTCGCACACGTCCTCTTTGGGATTGCTCTCTAATGGAGGTGCCCCACGAAGGTCTGGCTGCATCTCCTCCTTTTGAGCTGGGCCCAAGGTACATGCAAAGCGTTAATACAGTTCTGGTCTTCCCTTTGTTTTTGAAGCAGACTCACATCTTTCCCAGTCAATAGACCCGCCTACACCCTGCAGTCCTCTCCACCATCAGACCCTCCCTGTGTTCTGTGCCTAAAGTGGGAGGTCTCTCCATGTATGAGGTCATGCAATCTTTCTAGCATTAACTAGAAAGGCAGGAAGCATTAACCCTGTTTACAGATGAAGAAACGGACGCAGGAGGGAGGAAACTCAGCTAAGCTGGTGAGAGGGGAGCCACGGTTCAGATGTCGCTTCCTCAGCCCCATAGCCCTGTCCTTCTTTCTCCTTTCCATCCAGACAGGACCTTGCAAGGACACTCTGCTCAGTTCTTCCCTGGCCCCACTTCCTGCTCACATATGAGCCCACTGTCTTCTGGTTTCTATCCTCACCACTCAGTCCTGCATTCGCTCATTTATTCATTCAACAAACACAGAATACTTACTTTATGGCAAGTACTTATATAAGTGCTACCTGACAAAGCTGCCCTTAAGATTCCAAATGACATACCTCCCGCTGACCTGAACCCTGCGTTAGGAAACAGAGATAGCTTTTTTATGATGCCCCGCTCATTTGGTTCCAACACAGTTAACCTGCTAGGACAGTCAAATCATTAACTGCAGGAGCCATGCCTCAGTGACTAGCAGAAGCTTGAAACAGAATAGATGTTCCAACTGGAGGTGTGAACTGACTGACTTAATAAACTAAGTCCTGACAATTTACTAATTGGGCTCAAGACTATGGTTGTGGTTCTCAAGTGGGGGTAAGCTTGCGCTTTGGGATATCTGATAGTGTCTGGAGACGCTGTTGATTGTTATAACTAGCAAGCGGTCCAGGCATCTAGTAGGCAGAGGATAAGGATGCTACTAAACATCCTACAGTGCACAGTATAGCCCCACAACAAAGAATTGTCGGGACCAAATTGTTACTAGTGCCCAGGATCTAGGGCCTCCAATCCCAGAACTCTTTGCCAAGAGCTCAGAATCTTTGCAGTAAGATGCATTATCTTGGTAACTTACATTCTTTTTTTCAATTCCTTTGGTATATTTTTTAAAAATACACACTCTGGCTGGTTTTGAAGGTACATTAGTCCAGGTTGTAAATCGCGCATGGTAGAGAGGAGTCTTTGAAATGCCCCCCAGCATGGGAGGTTTTTATGTGGAAAAGATGACTTCATTCCGTTCTGCTCTCTGCACCCTAAAAGCTCTGGCAGCCTACACATCTCACTGGCTCACTGGGTTGGCACAAAGCACATCTTGAGTCATTGGTTCTCTTTAACCCAGGCCTGGGAGGGCCTCTAACACTGTTGTGTAACAAGGAGGAAAGGGGACCGCCTTTTAAATAAGCAGGACTTTTTTCTTATCTGTCAGCCTAAGGGGACCCATAGGACAATGAGAACCTGTCCTCAACACTGAGACCTCCTCCAAGTCTCTTTGGACCCACCTGGGTCATTGTCCTTCAATGCTGCTATCTCGCCTTCTATTTTTTTATGATGTTGTGTCACTTTTTGGAGTCTTTCCTCGAGACTCACAATCGTCTGGGAGTGTTGTTTGATTTGCTCCTTGTATTCCGCAATTTCCTTCTCAAAGCCGTGTTTCTGTGACTCCCGCTCGTCCTGGAGGGCCTTCACCGTCTGCTGCTGCAGCAATATTCGCTCCTCCAGCAGGATCTGGGGAGACAGAGAACTAGATTAATGTGGATTGGGCAGCTGGATATGATGACAGCAACAGTACCAATAACATCCACCCTTCTGCACACACATGGGGTTTTCATTTAGAAGGAATAAAACCAGAATGCTCCCTAGAAGCGAGAATGATGAGACCGGGGCTCGCTTAGTTTGGACACGTCATCGGGAAAAACCGACAGCTGGAAAAGGACGCCCTGTTTGGTAAAGCTGAGGGTCAGCGAAAACGAGGGGAGCCCTCCATGAGATGCACCATAGTTCAGACACATCACAGATTGGAAGAAGGTGTAGGACTGGGCAACGTTCTGTTCTGTTCTACGTGAGCTGGAGGTAACTGGAGAACAACTAACAAGTTTTGGTCTCTCCCACACCAGTGCTAAACTCAGTTCCACCTCAGGGTCTCTGCCCATGTTGCTCCTGTTTCCAGGTCTTCATAGCCTCCAGGTCTCAGATCCAACATCTCTTCTTCAGAGAGGCCCTCCCTACACCTGTCTAAAGGAGAAGCCGGAGACACCTTCTTCTACTCCATCATCTGGTTTTGTTTCCACTGAGAGATCATCTGAAATGACCTGGCTTCTTTCTCATGCCCATTAAGGCAAAAGGTCCACAAGCACAGAAACTTAACTTTTCTCATTTGCCACTTCGCCCGTCTAGATTAACGTCTCAGCGTCTACGCCTAAATGCTCAATGAACAATTGTGGAATTAATGAATGAACAATTTAATAAGAAAAACAAATGAACCTGTATTTCTTTTTAAAAAAAACAAGAAAAATTATCAATGAGTCCCAGATTGTGAGATCTCCTCAGACTCTTGCCCACCATCACCCTCTTCCCAAGGCTCTGCTTGGTGTTTCCATCTTAGCACCTCATCCTGGCTGGCCTCACGTGGCTTCTCAGGCTCCCCAATGTCACACTCCCTGCTAATGCGCTGGGTCTTGGTCTTTGACCTTCTCCTCATGGGCCAACTCTTCAGCCAAGAGCTCATACTTGCTCACAGGCCAATAATCATACCTACAGCATTGTCTCTCAAATGCACACCTTTTGCTTCTTTCCAAACCTATTGTATCACCCAAAGTTTGGGAACTTTTGAACTTGGATATTCTACTCTTACCTTGGTCTGAATTCATCTTCTCCAAAAAAATATGTAATTGTGGAGGTTGCTCAATCACTGTGATTGTTCCACAATGATGAAGATTCCCCAACCTCCATGGCTCCACCTAAATTTCCATCTATAACTCTAATCAGACTTCCCGCCAGATGCCTGCATCTCCCTCTGGTGCCCTGGCTTGGCACCTCCCTCTCCTGGACACTCAGGTCCTGTGAGTTAGTTATCAAGTCCTACCATTTCTCTGCAATAATTCCAACAAGGATTCCTTCTTCCAAATCTGTGTTGTAAGCAGCACAGCCAGAACGCTCCTTAGAAGCCAGGATGGTGAGACTTTGTCTCTCATATTTCAGCCCCTCAGAGAGTCCAAGCCCTGATGTTTCTGGACTAGCGCAATGGCCAGGGGTGCTGTCATTACAACACAGCTTTATCCAGCCAGAATGTCTACAGTGCCAAGTACATCAAGCATTCTCATGAGATCATTGTCTTGTATCAAGGGAAAACTGGCCCAGACCCAGGAAGGCATTACTTACCATCTTTGTCTTGGTAGTTTCCAGTTCTGCTAACGTCTCGTTTACTTTGATTGTGAGGCTCTCTACTTTTAGACTTTCAGCCACCTTAGACTTCTGAGTCTCTTCTACCATGGCCAGTGCATCATTTAACTTATTATTTAAAATGTCCTCTTTTTGTACCTTTAATTCTATTTCCTAAACAGACAACAAACACCAGATTAGTAGATGTGAAGGAATAAGCATTTACCCCACTCCCTCTCTTTCTGAAAGGAGGTAAGTGCTATGCTGTTATTATGTTGAGGATCCTATTTAAGTGTAAAGTCCATGTCTTTTCTGGAGGTTCTAATGATTGTAGAATGCTTCTTTTATTCAGCTGAGATCTGTCTGGTTGTGATTTCTGGTCTCTGAACTCGGTTCTGTCACTTCCCTGAGTAAGTTTTATTTCTTTTTTATGTGACAGCCCTTTAAACATTGAGGAGGGCTGCATGTCTCTCACTGAATCTATTTTCCAGGATGAATGTGTGGAGTTCCTCCAACTCTTCATCACAGGCTCTTCCTTCAGGACATTCCTCCACCTCCTCCATCGCTGCACACCGGAATCACATCCTTCTCCAGTCCACGGGACTACAATGGCATTGTCTGCATATCTTACTCTTCCTCATGGAAAGAATTCTTACAATCTTTGTCAGAATTCTACTCTCTTCCTTGAGTCTCTCCTTAAATAATGTGGTGTTCAGGCTTCATGTAGGCCCTTAGCAGGGGGCTTCCCAAACAGTATTTAAACTAATTTTAAGTATATTATTGGCATTAGGAAACTGGGCACTCCCAGACTCTGTTGCTAGGAGTATGACCTTTATAGAAGATCACTTGGGAACATGTATCCTGTCCCTCAGGGAAGAGTAATGGTCCAGTGGTAGAATTCTCACCTTCCATGATGGAGATCTGGGTTCAATTCCCAGCCCATGCACCTCCTGGCAACCACCACCTATCAGTCAGTGGAAGCTTGTGTGTTGCTCTGATGCTGAACAGGTTTCAGTGGATCGTCCAGACTAAGTCAGACTTGGAAGAAAGGTCTGGTGATCTACTTTCGAGAACCAGCCAATGAAAATCCTATGGCTCATAATGAGTTGACTGCAACCAGCCATAAAGATGGTAGGGAATGGGCAGTGTTTCATTCCCTTATCCATGAGGTTACCCTGAGTTGAAGGTTAATTCAATAGCAGCTAACACTAACAGCAACAATCATGAGCCTACCATTAACAACAACAATCATGACTTGCTACATCACAACAACTTGTGATGCAGCAAGTCCATTCCTAGGGATTTATCCCAAGGACAGAATCAAATACGTGCACAAGGCTGTTCAGCTAAACATTTACTATACTAGGGACAAGTTAGACACAGCCCCAGTGCCTGATCTTAGGGGAGGTGTCAAATAAATGGGGGTCCATCCAACACAGGGCAGACCGAGGCTATCCTTAGAGGACAGGTTGTGGAAGAATGTTCAATGACATGGGGACATTATTTATAATATACTAAATTTAATATAATATGCTAGAAGAACAAACAAATCTGCATTGGAAGAAGTACAGCCAGGATGCTTCTTAGAAGCCAGGATGGAGAGACTTTGTCTCTTATACTTGGACATATTATCAGAAGGGACCAGTCCTTGGAGAAGGACATTATGCTAGGTAAAGTGAAAGGTCAACACCAGGAAGACCCCCAACAAGATGGATTAGCACCAGGGCAGCAGTACTGGGCTCAAGCTTAACAATTGTGAGGATGGCACAGGACTGGGCAGTGTTTTTGTTCTGTTGTGCATGAGGTCTCTATGAGTCACAACTGACCCAACGGCACCTAATAACAACAAAGTTTAAAATGCAGCTTCCAAAGCACCATGTCCACTATAAAATTATAAATGACTAATTTTATAACAAATCATTATTTGTTATAATCCACCAGCTGCTCCTTGAAAAACTTACATAGGGTTGCTATGAGTCAGAATCGACTCAATAGCCCTTAGCAACAACAGTAATAACGTAGGCGCCCTGTTGTGGTACTGTGGGATAAGCACTGGACGGCTAACTGTAAGGTTAGCAGAGACCCTATATAGGGTCGCCATGAGTCAGAACTGACTCATGACACTTACCAACAACAAATAATACAGACATCCTTCAAGGAATCACTTTACTTAGTGGAATCATAGGTAGTTTTTTACTTTCTTCCTAGTGGTCTTCTGTGTTTTTCAAATTCTCTACAACAAATTGGTATTCCTTTTATAAGACTATAAACAGGAAACTGATGATTCATGAAAAAAACTAAATATTATTTTCATCTTGGTTCTCTTGAAGGTCTCACTTGGGAATCCCTTCATTCTTTTTGCATCTTCCTTGAACTCTGTTGGAGGCTTTCTGAAGGTCTGAACATCACTATTACTGTGGCGACATTCTAATGAGGACCATGTGCAGAGCAGTCCTAAGGAGATGCTCATTAGAGATACTGTAGACATCCCCACAAACTTCACAGCGAGCTGTCCCAAGATTCCCTGGGAATCCACAGCAAACTGGCATTGCTTCTTTGATGAACTCTGCCCAGGGCATAGAACCAGTTGCTGGCATCTTTTCTATTTGCTAGCTATCTCCTCAGCCGCTTTCTCAAGTACAGGAGACCAAAGGTCACAGTTCCCATCAGTATGAAATTGTTTCTCCTCACCCCCTCTCTCCTCTTTCTTTTACACAAAGTGAAAAAGTATTGTTACTAGGGCTCTAAGGAGCTGTGGTAGCGTAGTGGTTACGAATCGGGCTGCTAATCTCAAGGTCAGCAGTTCGAAACTACCAGTGGTTCCATGGGAGAAAGATGAGGCTTTCTGCTCCCGTAAAGATTTACAGCCTCGGAAACCCTATGCAGGGTTGCTATGAGTTGGAACGGACTCGACGGCACATAACCCCCACCATCACCACCACCACCACCACACTAGGGCTCTAGTTCATACATGAGTGGGTTTATTCCAAATGAAATGTGTTTAAATACATCTTTGCAGACAAGTTCTCTCAGGGATAAACTTGGCTTAGTCTTGTTAGGGTGCCTTCAAAGATAATTAAAAAGGACTCTTCTTGTGCTATGGGACAAAATTCTTCTAAGTTCAGGGCTGATGTCGAAATATTAACAAAATGCAAGTGGACATTTTTCCAAATCACTGAAGCTTGGCAACAAGTAGGCAGCAATGCTGCCTTACGTAAAACAACAGTTTTAGATGGATCAAGTGTTTTAGGGAAGGTTGAGAAGACCTCAAAGATGAATTTAAGACAGAGGTGTCAGTTCAGAAGGTAATGGTGACTGTTTTGGGTGACCCCAAAGGGTAATCTTAGAGTTCTGGTGTGGCACTGTAGGATAAGTACTGGACTGCTAAACAAAAGGTTGGTGGTTCAAACCCACCAGCTGCTCCTTGGAAATCCTGTATAGGGTCACTGTGAGTCAGAATTGACTTGATGGCACTGAACAGCAAAAGGTAATCCTGATAGACTGTCCCGAAGGCACAGAATGAAAACGGGGTCTTATGAAGAAGTTTTAAGAAAACTGAATGCTGTACTGGTGAGAACAAGGTCTTTAAAGTAAAGCTGATGCATCTGCTCATTCTTCCAGGCTACCAAGGACTGTCCTGAGAGAACTTCATTGGGAAACCTTCCTTCATCCACTCTCCACCCCTAATCTTGCCCCTCCAGATTTCTTTTTGTTCCCCAAACTCAAAGAACATGGAAAACAAAGACAATCTGAGTCCCTGAAGTGTGCCAGAACTGCCATTTCAACATGGAATACATCAAAGAACACAGAATTCTTTGGGAAGGATAGAGGATAGGGAGAAACAGCAGCTTCACGTCTCCTTACAGGTTTCTAGGATTTTGTGGTGATAGTTTTCTGACTTGCCCTTATATAAATCCTTTTTTTTCCCCCGACCTATGCAGATAAAAATCAGTTTTTGATTTTTATCACAGACAACTAGCCTGTGACTGAGTCACTCTAAATCTGATGAGCTGTTCTCTGAGCTCACAGCATTTCTTTGGTCTCTCCCTGGAGGTGGAGTCCTGCCCTCTCACACTAGTCTACCTTGAGGGTTGCTCCAAGGCCCCGCCTTCTGACATCACTGCTGTCTGTTGTTCCTCAGTGTTGATGAGGATGATGTTTCTTGCATTCCTCTATACGATGGCCGTGGGAACGAGGATCTCTGGGTCTACTGCCAAGAATGGCCCAATTTCCATGAGCAGTCGGTTCATTTTTATCTAATGAGTTGCATTAACAACTGGGGTTTCCATCTCACTAGAGGAAAACTTGTGATTCATTCAGGATAAACGTCTCATGCCACACATTTTTTGTTTTGTTTTTTGGCTTTCACCTCATTCCTGGTCCATCCTATGTCTCAACGAATCTACTTTTTAAAAACTTTTGGTGTTTCCTTTCCTCCTAACCCTAACTGATGTCTTTCCTGGACTATCATTTGGGGAAACCAACCTGTTTGTAAAAACATTGCTCTCTTACAGCCTGCAGTAAGGAAAAATGTGAGTATGTCAGTCCTGAGCCACAAGTTTTACGTCATAAGTCACTGAAATCCAGGTCTGCCTTCTCTGGACACACTCCAGTTTTTCAAGGCTCAAGACTGATACATAACCCAGTGGCTGTTACTTCACACTATGCTTCCCAGAGCAGCGGTTTGCAGAGAGTACTGGCATCATTTAAATTGTTGTTGTTAGCTGCCATCAAGTTGGTTTCATTCATGACGACCCCTGTACAGTCCTGTCCCAGCTTCATGGTCACTGATATGCTTGAATCTGTTGGTTGTGGCCACTGTGCATTGTGAGTGCCTTCCAACCTAAGGGCTCTTCTTCCAGCCTTGTATTACACAATGTTGTTGGTGTTAAGTACTGTGGAGTTGATTCCGACTCATAGCGACCCTGTACAGGGTTTCTGAGGCTGTAAATCTTTTTGGGAGCAGAAAACTTTTATCTTTCTCCCACAGAACGGCTGGTAGTTTTGAACTGCCGACCTTGAGGTTAGCAGCCCGATTCGTAACCACTATGCTACAATGCTCCTTGGTAATCCATGGGGTTTTCATTGACTAGTTTTCAGAAGCACACTGCCAGGGCTGCTTCGTTCTAGGCTGTCTTAATCTGTCTGTTTGTTGTGTTCTGACGGCTTGCGTGTTTCTGTGAGGCTGGAAACTATGCCATCAGTATTTCAAACAACAGCAGGGTCACCCACGATGGGCAGGTTTTAGCGGAGCTTCCAGACAAAGAGACAGTCACTTGGATTACTTGTTAAAAATGCAGATTCCTGTCCTAGTGTACCCTACACCCAGTGAATCAGAATCTCCGGGGACGAGATTCAGGAAGCAGGCATTTAAAATAAACTGGTGATTCTAACCCAAGACAAAACTAGGGTACCTTTCCCCCCCAAAAAAAGTGTTTCAAGAGTGATGAGGATAGAATTTCAAGGGCCTTTTTAGACCCATCTGGTCTTGATAAGCCTTTCAAAGCATATTGAGTTGTATTGAAATTTAACTCATTAATGTCAGGTTGTATGCCTGGCACCTGCTCTTTTGACTTTGAATTACTGGACTCTGTGTGTGTTGTGCCTTGAACTGCTAGACCCAGGAAGAGTGAATTAAGTTCTCTGACTTGTGACTTTGGGCTGCTAATTACAAGGTCAGCAGTTTGAATCCACCTGCCATTTAGAGGGAGAACGATAAACTATGTACAGATGTATAGCCTGGGAAGCCCTATACGACATCGCTTCACAGCACACAACCCCCACCCCCACTGTTGTTTGTGAAACTCCTCAGGCAGAATCATATGAACAACCACCTTTATTCTTCCGTGTCTACAACTCTCAGTAACAGTAATAAGTATGCTTTGACCATGAAGAGGATAATGCGATGGCAGCAAGTGGGAAAACAGACACCAAAGTACTCAGAAATTCAGATGTTTGGACCCTTAGAGTGAGGTGTGAAGAGAGAGCACTCTGTAGTCAGGTAGTCTTGAGTTCGAATCCTGCCCTTTCACTTCCTAGCTGTGAGTCCTTAATAACAATACAAGCTGCCAACATGCAGCGTTCACTAAGTATTTTCTTACGTGTTTTTATGTGTGTATTAGCTGTCAAGTTTCATGAACAAATCAATGAGGTCAACCGCTTCTCATTATTCAAGATGCAGAGATGATAACTTGCCTAATGCTCCATAGCTAGAGAGTAGCAATGGGAGAATTCGAACCCAGACTGCCTGACTCCCTCGTCCTGCTTTGAGCCACGTCTTTCCTCTTTGAGACTCGTACCTCTTTCTGCTTGTTTAAGTGGGTCTCCAGATCTCGCACCTTTTTCTTTTCCTTCTCTATGGCCTCCTTCGCTTTGTCTTTCTCGTAGGCAATGCTGCTCTCAGCAATCTGGAAGTCAGTAACAAGTGGTTTGAGGGTGTGGGTACCAAGGAAGGGAAACAACTCCACAGAGGAAGTCAGGATCAATGAGCACCAAAACCAGTGAGTCAGGGTCTGAGGAAGAAGTGGGATTCTCAGCCAGCTGGCCAGGGTGAACTTGGTGAGTTGTGTGCTAGAAGGGAGTTACTCGTCATCATTCCGGATATCTGGGCTGGAGTACAGGAAGTGACTTGCTGGTGCGTAGTGAGGTCAAGCTGGTTAGCTCTGAGTCTCTGGCTGACCAGGCACCTGACCTGGCACCCACGTGGACTTTGTTGGGAAGCACTTGGCTCCTTGGGAAGTGGGACAGGAGAGTCAGAGCCAGGAAGATAACTCCTGAACCAGCAAACCTGCTAACTGCCACTTCAAAGGACAAAGATCTCCCCCATCTACAAAAGGCTCAGGCTTCAAAGAGTCATGTCTGGTACAATATGGAACTGGGAACACACACCCCAGAGGCCTGTCGATAGGAAGGGGTTGGAGGTCCTGACTTGGCCCCTAAAGCCCAAGGAGGTAAGTGGCCACAGCGTGTGTGTGTGTGTGTGTGTGGGGGGGGGGGTTGAGAAACTCCATCTGCAGCTGTTGAAATCCTTGGAATTACACCTCTCCACCACCCCCACCCCAAAACGAAAATTCACAGGAAAAAAATATTTTAAAATATATACATTAGCAGTGATAGTTACCCTATACTGTTAATGTGAATTGTATATGTCAAAAATGTTGAACTGGCAAATGTCACAGTATAGATACTTTTCACAACAATAAATAATATATACATATATAATACATCGACAAGAAACTGGAAGAATATACCAATATGAACATCATGGTTATTTTGTGGGAGTTGGAATTATAGCAATTTCTATTTTGTTCTTTTTGCTGGTCTGCAACTTCTAAATTTTCTTCAGTGAAAATGCCCTGTTGCAAAAAACAAAAACAAAAAACCCCCAAACTAAACCTAAAAACATTTTTTTCAAAAAAAAAAAAAAAAGAACCAGTAAGGCAGCCTGGTGGCCCTGTAAGTTAGGCGCTGGTCTGTTAACTGCAAAGTCAGCGGCTCAGATCCCCAGCTGCTCTGTGATAGAAAGATGAGGCTGTCTGTCCCCATAAGGCCTCTCTGAGCCAGAATGGCCTGGATAGTGGTGAGTTAAGCTATTTTATGACTGCAGATGGAGTCCTGGTGTGGCGCTGTAGGTTAAGGCACTGGACTGCAATGTCGTGTTGAACCACAAGGTCGGCGGTTTAAGCTCACCAGCCACTCTTTGGAAACCCTATAACAGGGTCGCTATGAGTTGGAACCCACTTGACTGGCACACAGCAACAACAACAACCCAGGAAGATGGGAAGGTGTTAACGAAGGCCCTGTGGGGATGAAACTTTGAGTGACACTTTAGGGATGTATGTGGCTCTAGAGAATGGCCAACAGTCTCGATCTTCCAGCATAAATCCTTTGCCACCTGTTCACCTCACCCTGTTTTACACACTGTTCTCCCCGCCCCACCTGGACTCTGCCCTTTCCTGGAGATCTGGGCATATTCCACTGCCACGTCTGGACTTGAGGCTGCCCAGCCCCACCCTGCCTGCCATTAGGGTCCTCCTAACAGCTTCCTTCTCATACATGCAAGGTGGGCAGCGCCTTCCCTCTCTTCATCATGCTGCTTGGAATCTTACGAATGAAAACAGTGCTGATGATAATGGCCGCTCTTCCAAGGCTTGCTAGGTGTGGACCCTGTACTGAGCACAGAATGCATGAACACCTGGAATCTGCACTCTGCTAGGCAGAGTCTCTATGCTTAGCCCCAACTTACAGATGAGGAAGCTGAAGCTAGAACTGAAGCAGTGAGAGCTCAAGGAACCTCTCAAGGTCACACTGCTAGGAAGTACTTTGGGGGTGGCCAATATCCCTGAGGTCTCAGGCCTCTGGTCCCTGATTTACCTGTCCTCCTGATCCAAACTTCACATCACCTGGAAGCAGATGTGTGCGTGTTTATACTCTAAGAAATACAGAGCCTGCCACATTCCCTGGCAGGAACTAGATTTTCGAGATGCCACTCCTGGCCCATGTGTATAAGGGCTGCTCTGTGGTCAGTCTTATGTGTTCTAGTCCCATCCCTTAACAAGGCTCATTCTGGGTCACCCATTGAGTAAGTGCATCAAATGCATGGACACACTGAAGTCTCACATCTAACTTCTGAGGTGGTCCTGTTATTACATCCCCTTGACAAATAAGGACCAGGGAAGGCAAGAGACTTACCCAGGATCACACAGCATATAGTGTGGAGCTTAAATTTAAACCCAGAGTCCACATTTTCAGCTCACCGTGCTCCTTCCTCCTTCCCATGAGACCTCCCTCCCACTTGCTTCCGTGACCCCTTATGCAGTGTCCATCTCATTCCTGCTTTAATTTCATCTTCTCACCTCTCTCCGCACTTCCTCATGTGACTCCAGTCCCTGCTTCCTGTGTGTTCACATTACTCACTGGCAGGCTCACTCCCTAGATCTTCCCTGAGGGACACCTTCTCTCCTCCAGATCTCCCTCAAATGTCACCTCCTCCGGGAAGCCCTCTGGATGCAGGTCCCTCTGCCTATCTTCCCTGTAGCACTGGTGGCTCTCTATTACATGTTGTCTCTCTCCTGATGCTAGAATGGCAGCTGGGGAGCATGGCCCTGGCCTGTCTTGTTCACCCAGAACAAGACCTGGCACAGGTGGGTGCTCAGTCTTTCCTGGGTGAATGAATGAGCTGTATAAACAATTCATTAGAATGTTAGTTCTGTTTCTGGACTTTCCATGAGGACCCATATGTGTTTGTCTGTGCCACCTTCATCCCTGGGACTTGGCTCATGGAGGGGCATCCTGGGTTCTGAGTCATGTCCCCCAGCCACCGCCTTCCTGAGAGTCCTTTGATTTCCAGGCATGACTCGGGCATTCGGACTGATCTGGAATGACATTCCACTGCCTTGGTCTGGGCCTGCCTTTCAGGGATGCTCCCCGCAGGTATGTCTGGTGAGCCCAGTCCCCAGGCCAGGTAGGGGTGAGTGGGCCCCAGCTCTGTCTGGGTCTGGGGATCCCTCCCCAATTCCATCCTCTTCTTGAATGTACCTTTCTCATCCATTCTAAAAGTGATTACCACATGTACCAGCCTACTCAGTCTTACTCTGTATCCCTTATCCATCCAGGGAGGGTCTGCTGGGGAGACCACGAAGCCAGCAGGGACCACACACAGGGAATGTGTTCTCCTGTGGTCATGCCCAGTCACATCATCAATGCCTCTCAGTGACGAGGAGGAGGATGCTGGCCAAGTGACCAACACAGAATATACCCAAGGCTTCTGTTCTGGGGAGCAGCCTCTTCCCTTGTGTAGCAGAGCCCGGGCATCGCTAAATTCATGATAGCAGGAAATACCGACAGAAGGTTAGTTTATGCAAAGGACTCTTCTAACTAAGCACTTGTTTGCATAATGTTGTTGCTAGGTCATGGAGAGTCAGTTCCAATCCATAACAACTCTGTACAGAGTTTCAAAGACTGTAAATCTTTGCAGGAACAGAAAGCCTCATCTCTCTCCGTAGGAGCGACTGGTGGCCTTGAAACATCGACATTGTGGCTAGCTGTCCTGTGCTTATCTTACAGAGCCATTGCCCTCTGTATGTGGATTTACGTAATCCTGTGAGGTAGGGATTGTTATCAGTCCCATGCTGCAGATGAGGAAACAGAGGGTTAGAAGGTACACAGCCTACCAATTCAAGGTCATATAATAGGTAGTAAGTGGCAGGTAGTAAGTGGGCACCTCAAACAGAGGTGTTGGCTCTGGAAGTGACATGCGTAACCACCATAATATTACATATTAGGGCACAGAAACATTGTCTCCTACCTGGATTTGACTGCCACGGCCCCCTCGACATCTTTGGTGCTCATACCTCTTTCTGTTGGGTTAAGTGATTCTCCAGATCTTGAGTTTTTCTCCTTTCTGTCTCCAGAACTTCCTTTGCCTTTCTTTTCTCATGGGCCATGTGGCTCTCCAAAACCTGAAAGTCAGTGACCAACCCTTTTGGGTTCCTTGCACATTTAAGGCGGGAAACTGCAAATAACAGTGGTAAGAATAGCAGCTAAAATGTTGAGAGCAGGTATTACATGCCAGGGCACACGGCCAGCTCTGCACACACAGTATGGCATGGACTCTCACAGCAACACAACCCCAGAGACGTGGCCCCATTTTATGGATGAGAAAACCAAGGGATACTCACTGTTCTTTTTCTAACCACTTTTCATTGTAAAATATATAGTATTTCCGTCATATCATGGAGTCCCTGGGTGGTGTAAATTGTTCAGTTGCTAAATGAAGGGTTGATGACTCGAGTCCACCCAGAGACGTGCAGAAGAAAGGCCTGGCAATCTATGTCTGAACTATCAGCCACTGGAAACCCCATAGAGCACAGTTCTACTCTGACACATATGGGGTGAAAGAAAGATAGTTGGTGAGCGGCCCAAGGTGGGGCTGTTTGTTAGAAATGAGGCCAAGACTTGAACCTTGCAGAGAAAAAAGCCCATTGTCTGCATACAGACATCTTGCTAAGAAACCAATGAGCAGAGGGAGCCAGACCTGAGGGAGCTTACTACCTGCTGTGCCACACAGTCTCTTTGGTAAAAACAAGCATCTCTTTAATAATGGAATTTCCCATTATTGACGTAAATCTCTTGAAATGAATCAGGCTTTAAAAGAGGGCAGTGCACTCAATTAATATACTAATTTCTACAAGATGAGGTAAATCTTCATCAGGGATGACCTGGCACAGTTAAGGCAGAGAGCATAGTTAGTATTTGGTGCCCATGATCCAAGGCATTTTATCTAGGAAGTCTCCTGCTGGTAAAGCTATTCAGCTAACTGGCTTAATGCAAATGACCAAAGGGTCTGCCTTGTGGGCAAGGGTCCTGCTCTGGGGTCACTGCAAGGAAGGGCACCTCAACTTTCCAATGGGTTGTGTTTTAAACACTGGGTTGATCGTCAGATATTTGAGACGTGGAACATGGTTTCCACTAGAGCCAGTAGTTTAGGGTTTCAGATGAGCTCACAAAAAGCATTTAGCCCGTAAATCCTCCCCACCATTACCACTCCCCCCAAATAAACCAATTGCCACTGAGTGGATGCTGAATCAGGGCAGCCCCATGTGTGTCAGAGTAGAATCGTGTTCCATAAGGTTTTCAATGACTGGCTTTTCAGAATTAGACCGCCAGACCTTCTTCCACAATGCCTCTGGGTAAACTTGAACCTCCAAGTGTATCAGCACCACCCAGGGACTCTATGTTGTTGTTGTTGTTAAGTACCGTGGAGTCGGTTCCGACTCATAGCGATCTTGCACAGGGTTTCCGAGGCTGCAAATCTTTACGGGAGCAGAACGCCTCATCTTTCTCCCATGGAACGGCTGGTAGTTTCGAACTGCTGACCATGAGGTTAGCAGCCCGATTCACAACCACTACGCTACCAGAGCTCCTTCAGGGACTCTATAGGCTGGCTGAAACATTATATCTTTTGCAGCAAAAGCAGTTTAGAAACACACACATACACATCAAAAAGCGAAACCCACATCTTCTATTTCAATGGTAGCCTTAAACAAAGCTGTGATATCAGGGGTGGGGTGGGGAATGGTTTATATTAATCTTAAATATTTAAGGCAGGTTTAGGTCAGACATTCTCCTGTAAATTGTGAGACAGACTTCCAGGCTCTAGGAGTTGGCTCACTGTATCTGCTCTCCTGTTAAACTCGCATGTCTTTGGGCAGTTCCCCCGCACCAAGCTCCGTGGGTCTAGGGAGCACTATCAGGAACAGTCTCCCCCACCCCTCCCTCCTGTTCCATCATCCTCAGTGGCTCGTCTCCAGAGCACACTGGCAGGTGATGGGGATTAAACCCCAACTGTGACCTAGCAATTCTGTGGTACTCAGATTTGTCTGATAATACAAGGAAGCTTCCAAAAGTTTGTGGGAAAACATTCCATCTTATCATTTCATTTTTTTCCCCAAGAACTTTTGGAAGCCCCCCTTGTATTGGTGGAAGGCCTGATGAAGAGACAGATCAAATGATCCCTTGAGGTTGAATGAAGTCTATGGCTGGAACACCTGTCTTCAATTCCCCATTGGGAAACTCAGGGCGGTCTGCCTAAGGGCAAGGTGGCTGACACTTGACTAGACCTGGGATGACCTGGCCACAGGCCCCCTCTGTAACCGGGCTGTGTTCCCACCACGTTGTCCTTTAATCTCTCTCTGAAGTCCCCTATGACCTGGAATCTCTAAATTCAAGGATCTTTCTAGGCCCAGGCTGTTGGCCTCTCAGTGACGTTTGGCTCCAAGGATTCCTTGGACGACCCTCTTCCTCCTCTGCATTCCTGGAGACAGAACCCAAGGCAAACTTCAGTGATGGTGTTTACAGAGAGTTGTGGAGTACAGATATACAATGAGGGTCTGGAAGCCCTGAGTAAGAGCCCACATGTAAACATCTTCCCACTCTGGGGCAGATCAAATTGGGCAGGCTTCCAGAGGTCTCCTTGTTTCTCCCTCAGTGATGGATGAGCAAGGAATTTACTCTGAGGAGTGAGGAGGTAATAGGGTTTGATAGGAAACCAAGTCCCCAAACAGAAGTTAAAGTGGGAGAAATAATAAAAACAACTACTATTTATTGTGGACTCAAATGCATCAACAGTTATAAAGCTAGCTCAGGACCGGGCATCACTGTCTTCTGTTACACACACAGCCAAGTCCATAACAACTAACAATCATTCACTGAATGGTCATTCTGGGTCAAACCCTTCCTTGTATATCGTATCTAATCTGCACCCTCTTATGCAGGCAGGTAATGACAGACCTGCTGCAGCCTGGAGTATTCAGACAAGATTTGAACCTGTATTTCAACTGGCTGCAAATCTGTGCTTTTCACACCTTTGTGTGGAACCAAGATTGAGGGATTAATAAAATCATCCGTGAAACACATTTGGGGATCTGAGGGTGATCACAAGCTAATTAAAGTCAACACTATAGGAGTGTCCAAATACAGTCAACAACAATGAAGGGTGTCTAAAAGCTAGTATGGTCGCATCAATAGAAGTACAACATCTTTAACAAAGGAAGGGAGAGTCTTGTCCCATGCTGCCATGGCTGGAGAACTGCATTTGTTTATGTCTGCCACACTTTTGGAACAAAACAGACAATAGGGTGCAAACTCAGGTATCTAAAGGGGCTGAAAGATGCCAAAAATGAACATGTAACAAAATAGGGAATATGGTGAGCATTGTGGCAAACTGCTGCCACTTGGTTCTTTTTCAGCCCATTTTCACCAAGTGGAAATGAGGGCCCGAATTTCTGACTTTTCAAGAGATGTCAACAATCTGAATTTAAAAAAGAAATTTTGTATATTTAAGATAAAATACTCTAGGGTCAAACATAACAATATCTATAGGTCTGTTTCAGCCAGTGGGCTCCAAGTCTGTGAGAACAGATCTGGTCAGAGGAGGGGACCAAGTTCAGGCTCCAGTCCTGGGAAGTACCTAAGGAAAAACAAGAGGACTTGGGCCTGGAGAGGAGCAGGTTCCTCTCTCTTGAGACCTCTGGAAGGATATTCCAAGAAGGGGAAATAGATGCAGCAGCAGGAGCCCAGGAGGCTGGCAGAGAACTGATACTCTTCTAGGGAGAGAAATGCCAACTTAAGAGAACCGTCCACCAACCCACGGCATCCACAGTGAAACAGACAACTCTGAGTTATAGAATATTCCTTGTTGGTAGAACCAAAGGCCACATTCTTTCAGGATGCTGTCAGAGAAACTCAGGTCCCCCTGAAGTCCCACAGTTTGGTAATACCTCCTGTTCTATGTTTTGGAGCACACCCTCCAAGTCACTACACTCAGCTTGTCTCCCAAACTGTGTGACTGGATTTTACACAGTTTACAATTTTTCCCCCCAACTGGTTGTCAAGGCTGTAACTCCAGGGTTCTCTTGGTAAGTCTCTCTGCTTTCCAAAGCAGCTGAGCCCACCCAAGGCCCAATTGCTCTATCCCCTGTCATCTGTGGTTCTGAACTGACTTCCATACCAACCTGAAGCCAGATATGGGCACTAGAGGACCCTAGCTCCCTAAACAGCATACCTCCTTCTGGCGGGTGAAGTGATTCTCCAGCTCTTGGAATCTCTTCTGTTCTTCCTCTAACACTTCTTTCACTCTGGTTTTCTCTTGAGCAATGCTTCCCTCCAGCATCTGGAAGGAAGGCAATGACTACTGTTTAACAGACATAGTCACTGTGGCTGGAGTTTGCTGGATTAGTTCTTCACTCCTCACAACAGCCCCATTAGGAGGCTGTGTGCAGCAAGGCCTCGGACCTAAGTATGAGGGCTTGAGTCAGGCACTGGGCAGATTAGTAGCTGTAGAAGCCTCAGGCTCCCTATCTGCACAATGGAGACAGTAATAGTACTTCCTGCATTAGACTGGTGTGAGAGGTGTATGGGATGCTGAATGTAAAATATTCGGTTACAAAGGATAACCATTTATTAATAAGGATCAGCTATCTCGTTTGCCATCCCCACTTTTCAGACAAGGAAACAGGTTTAGAAAGGTTGAAGAATCTGCTCAATTTACTAGCTACTCACACGAGCAGGGATTTGAACCCTGGTCCATTTGACTCCATAGCTTTTGTGCTAAACAGGGGTTAGCAAACTCTGGCCTCTAGGCCAAATCCGGCCCACTGCCTGTTTTTGTAAATAAAGTCCCAATAAAGTTTTATTGGAACATTTCCACACCGATTGTTTATGCATTGTCTATGGCGGCTTTTTTGTTGTTGTTGTTGTTTTGGGGGGAGTCTTGGTGTGGTGCTGTGGGTTAATGCGTCAGACTGTAAAGTCATTTGAACTGCAAGGTCAGTGGTTCAAGCTCACAAGCTGCTCCTTGGAAACCCTAACCAGGGTCGCTATGGGTCTGAACCGACTCAATGGCACTTAACAACATGGCAGTTTTTGTGCAACAACAGGAGAGCTGAGGAGTTGTAACTGAGACAGTCTAGCCCACAAACTGGAAAACATTTACTATCTAAGCTCTTTATGGGAAAAAAAGTTTGCTGACTAAATCATTAGTGTGTGCGCAAACCAGGTGTCATTAACAATTCATAATATGAATAATAAAGAGGATGGCAGATTGCTAAAGGAGATTAGAATTTCTTACCAGTACAGCAAAGTCTGCAAACAAGTGAGAGTTCATGAACTTTCACAATGGTAAGGTGAGGGGTGTCACATAGTTTGAGGAAGATTCATTTAAAATCAGGGCAACTGGGCTAAAATCTGAGGCAGTGCTTACAGGTGAACCCCTAGTGGCTATGAAATGGTGGCCCTCAACAAGAGAAAAATGAACGTTCTGTGTGGGTATGTGCCTGACGTTGCTTCCTCCCTACGTAAAAGACAGCATGAGCTGGGTCTTGTTGTGTTTGAAAGAGGGCCCTTAAAGCCAGTGTGCAGTGGTGACTGACTCACTGGTAGAATTCTCACCTCCAGGCAGGAAGCCTGAGTTCAACTATTGGTCAATGTACCCCGCCCTCCACCTGTTAGTGAAGGCACAGGTGGTGTCATGATGCTGAACAGATTTCCATGGAGCTTCTAAACGAAAATGGGCTAGGAAGAAAGGCCTGGCAATCTACTTCTGAAAATCAGTCCTTATGGATTGGTTTATTTCTTTTTTGTATATTTATTTTCTCATTAGGGCAAATCATTGGGAATTTCCCTGCAAATGAAAAAAAAAGAAAAGGAAAGAAGGGGAACAAAGATATTTGGAAATGGATAGTGGTAATGGTTATGCATCATGGGGGTGCAGTGGTGTGGCTGGATTATACAAGTAAAAAAAATAATCAATGCAGTTGTAAAAAGTTACTACGTAATTTAGCAGGCATTATTTGAGCAGCATTTGGGTAACATACATGGCTACTAACTGAAAGGTTGCAGGTTTGAATCCACCCTGAGGCACCTAAGAAAAGCTTGCGTCGACTTCCAAAAGATGGCCGACACAGAAAACCCTACAGAGTACAGTTCTGCTCCGACACAGGAGGCCGCTCTGAGTGGGAACTGATTTTTTTGAGTGTATGTTTTTTTTCTTTTCATTTTTTGAGCACTTAAAAAAAAAAGGGGGGGTAGAAAACCTTATGGATCACACATTTGGCCCACAATATGGCACAACATTCCATTCCTGTGTGCACAAAATGCCCAGACCAACTTAGTGGCAGCTAACAACAGCTTACAAGTCAGCATAAAACCTAACTTGTGATCAGGAACAATGCTATGAAGACTGTATCCCAACAGTGGAAAACGCAACCCCAAATTAAAATAAAGTCAGCCCGTTGGAGGGCTGATGCTGCATGGGAGAAGTCTCCAGATTTCTAGGTTCCTTCTGTCCCCTGCCCCTCTATTTAGCAGCACTGTCTTTTTCTATACCTAATTTGTTCCTCAGAATGTATCCACTCTGGTTGGCAACCATCATTAGTATTCTACTGTGACACAGATCATACATGCTTTTGGTACAGTGGTTTTTCCTTTTTAATCTTCTCTTTGACAGAAGGTAGAAAAGCAGAGAAAGAAGGAAGAAGAAGTAGAAGGCAGAGAGAGATTTCTTGAGGTCACTGGACATAAATGAGGGGCCAGAAATGCAAGAGGCAGAGACTCGGAGAGTGAGTACATGTGACAGTGAGGAAGACCTGAACTGGAAGTGCCCGGATCACAACCAGTGAAAGATGGGGAAGTGGCAGGTCCTGTCCTCCACTGGGGGCAGAAAGGAGGAGTTGAGGAAGAATCGGGGATCCAGGAAGGTCTAAACACTGCTGTCTTGAGTTCTTGTTTAGTGCCGTCGAGTCAGTTCCAACTCATAGCGACCCTGTATAAGGTTTCCGAGGAGCGGCTGGTGAGCACACGACCCTCCACATCTACTCACAGCAGTAATTTTCAACCATGGTGGTGTATTGGAATCGCTTTGAGCCAATACACAACTTGCACCCTCACACCTGGGAAACCACAACCTCTAGGGATGGGAGGTGGCACTGGTCCTGGTGTGGTGCTATAGGGTAAGCACTCAACCACAAGGTCAGTTTGAACCACCAGCAGCTCATCAGAAACCCTATAACAAGGTTGCTATGAGTCGGAATCGGCTTGATGACATTAACAGCAGTGACAATAACATGATAAAAATGCAGCCCAAGTCATGAATCACCAATCTATGATGATGGCAGTGACAAGACCTAAATTCATCACAGGTCCCTGAAGATCTAAAAAAGGAAACTTCAAACAATGGTAAGATTGCTGGCCTGAGACAGAGATTCTGGTTCAGTGGGTCTCGCGTGGGGCCCCAGAATCTATCATTTTAAGCAGTGTCCAGATGGTTTTTATCAAGCAACTCTGGGAAAACCTCCCTTTCTAAGACTGGGATGTTAGTTTCATTATTCAGAAAGCTGTCATGAATCAGAGCTGACTTGATGGCAATTAACAAAAAGATCTCACTATTGAAAAGGCGGTCTTTGGAACCTGAGTATCAACACCAGCTAGGAGCTTGTTTGAAATGCAGAATATCAGGACCCACCCCAGACCCACTAAGGCAGAATCTGCATTTTAACAAGACTCTCCAGTGATTCCTGGGCACCTTAAAGTTTAAGAGCCACTGTGAGGTATCCTGTAACTAACCTGGTTTCTAGAAAAGTTAAGTACAATTTTTATCATTTGTTTTCCCTGGTAGGTATAATGTTCTGTTGCCACTCCTAAGGTTTTCAGCGGCTAACGCTTCAGAAGTGGTCTGCTTCTCCTTCTTCCTAGTCTGTCTCAGTCTGACACCCTGACAGATCCGTTGAAACCTGTCCACCACGGGTGATCCTGCTGGTATTTCAAATACTGGTGGCATAGCTTCCAGCTTCACAGCAGCACACAAGCCAAATGGTGACGGGTATAGAGTGACAGACCAGTGGGGGTGATGTTAAGATTGGGATGTATAAAGAGAAAGCATAAGACCAACATCTATGAAGCTGGTCTTGCACAAACTTATAGTCTTGTCAGTTACAAACCAGGACCTGCAACTATGACCTGAATATATGAAAACAGTATCAACCAGTAAGGTACCGTTTCCAGACATTTCAATATTGTGACCGTTGGCTCAATTCTGCCTTGTGCTGACCCCTCGTGTGCAGAGCAACAACTGATCCATAAGGTTTTCAAGGTTGTGATCTTTCAGAAGCAGATCACCAAGCTGTTTTCCTTCATGGCTAGTAGCTGACCACTTCAGAGACTTCAATTCACCAACCTTTTCATGTTGGATTCCCTCTTAAGTTTAGAATGGCAGCTTCTAGTTACTTCCTCAAAAACCATCCACCCTGTTTAATTAATTTCGTTCCATAGCACCAAATGAGGGATTGCTATTTTTCCATCTAAGTACATGCCTCTAGTTTCTCGCAGACAAAGCGCTTTCATTCGTTTGCAGTAGAAAAGCACAGGCACCACCTTACCGCCTTGTCTTCCTCTAGCTGTGTGATGCTGGCTTTCAGCTTCTCCTCCTGCTCCAGTCTTTCTTTGAGCAGCTTCTCCTTTTCTGCCAGATGCTCTTGCAACTTCTCCTGCAGCAAAGACTGCTGTGTTTCCTGGACGCTGTCCATCTTGATCTGAAACGAAGTCAACTGGAGTCATCCCCCCACCTACCCACATTTCTTGAAAAGTCATTTAGCTTTGGGTGGCGAGGGAACAAACATTTACACAAAGCTTTCTTTAAAAACACAGAACAATTATGCTTAGCCTAGTGACTGGCAAGGAAGCAGTTGGATATAGAGGTTAAGAACTCAGATTCTAGAGTGAGACAGAAGCCCAGCTCTAGTTCTTTCTAGATGCTTTAAGTAGTACAGTGGTTATGAGTTAGGCTGCTAATCTCACGGTCAGCAGTTTGAAAGTACCAGCTGTTCTGCGGGAGAAAGATGAGGCATTCTGCTCCCGTAAAGATTTACAGCCTCAGAAACCCTATGCAGGGTCGTTATGAGTCAGAACCGACTACACAGCACATAACAACAACAACATACGGGTTTCAGGGGAGGGAGGCACCATCCATCAGGGGTGACCCAGAATGGAGGTATGGATTGAATGATGTGTTCCCCACCCCCTAAAAAAAATATGTTGTAGTCCTTATCTCTGGGCCCTGTGAATGTGATCTTGTTGAGACATAAGATCTTTGACTATGTTATACTTTAACTGGCATGAGCCCTATTAGCATTGTGTATTCCGACCTGGGTCGCTCATCACCAGGTCAGCAGAGAAGGCTTTTTGCTCCTGGATATGGAGTTGCTATGAGCTGGAACCAACTTGGTGGCACACACCAACAACCACAAGCAAAGTTGCTTCAGCTGAGACCAGCCTAGGTCAACCTAGAGCCAGCTAACACCTCATCCATGTGGGCAAGATCAGCACAGCTCCCCAGCTACTGACCCCAGATACATGAGCAGTATGCCCTATTAAAGATTTATTGTATTCAAGTTTTGTACTGCATTGTTGTGACAGTAGCTGGTTTCATGATATAGTCTCTAAGAATCATTTTGCCTCTATGTGTCGTATGTGGCTTTTGGTCATTCCAATGTACTGGGGATAGTTGTACTTTCTACTGTGTGTAGTAAACACAGTTTTCAAAATCAGATGGCATTTCAGACTTCTGGGATATGGATAGAGGAAAACAAGCAGTGTGATCATTCCACGGGGTCAGAGAAGGGGAAGGTCTGCCTTTGTCATACTGTGAGATCCTCAGCCACCTTATTTGATCCTCTTAATGCACAAAGGAGCTCTGGTAGCGTAGTGGTTACGAATCGGGCTGCGAACCTTAAGGTCAGTGGTTCGAAACTACCAGCCGCTCTGCGGGAGAAAGATGAGGCTTTCTACTCCTGTAAGGATTTACACCCTCGGAAACCCTGTACAGGGTCGCTATGGGTCGGCTCCGACTCGAAGGCACTTAACAACAACAATGCACAAAGGGGAGTGGCATTTCACCTCTTGGAGGATGTTAGCTGATGAGCTAACAGAGAAAAAAGCATGCTTTAAATGTACCACTTCACTACGCGGCGGCAAGTCGGTTCCGATCCACGGCGAGTTCATGTGCTTCAGAGAAGAACTGTGCTCCAGGGGCTGGTTTTTTGGGAAGTAGATTACCAGGCCTTTCTTCTGAGGTACCTTTGGGAGGACTCAACCCTCCAACCTCTTGGTTATCAGTGGAGCACAGTGCTATATAAATGCTAAGGAACAACAAAAATGAACTTGGGGTTGGGGAAAAAAGAAGTTATAGGATTACCTGCAGTTTCTGGGTCTGGTCCATGACTTTCTGATAATGTTCCAGAAGATACTTCAGATACAAAGGCAGCCCTTACAAAAGAAGCAAGAAAAAGGTAAGCATCAATTCAATTCAACACCTTTGCTTTCTGAATATTGTCTTAAAAAAGTCTGAGGAAAAGTAGGTTTAGGCAATGTTGCCCTCCCATCAAGAAAATCATTTGTCATTCAAGTTGTGTTTTGAAAAAGATTGATAAGCTACGTTTGAGCGCATCTAAGTTTCTTTTTTGGGAGGTGGAAAATTAAAAACCTACCTGTCTGCTGTGTGCAAAGTAGTGTGTTAGGAGTGAGGGGAAGCTATGAAGAGGTCCATGTCTTCAGAGATTTATAATTTAGTCTGAGATACAAGGTATGTTGTTGTTGTTAAGTGCCATTGAGTCGGTTCTGACCCATAGTGACCCTGTATAGGGTTTCCGAGGAGAGGCTGGTGAGCTTGAACCACCAACCTTGCGGCTCAAACCGACTTTGCAGTTCAGTGCATTAACCCACAGCGCCACACCAGGACTCCTGTATAAATGTACAATAAACCAGCTGCCATTAAGTCAACTCCAACTCATGATGACCCAGAGTATAACTGCTCCAGAGGCTTTTCAAATAACTGTGATTTTTAAAAAAGTTTGCCAGACCTTTCTTCCAAGGTATCGCTCAGTGAAGTTGAACCACCAACCTTTCAATTAGTTGTTATGTGCCGTGGAGTCGGTTCTGACCCATAGCGACCCTGTACAGGCTTTCTGAGGCTGTAAATCTTTATGGGAGCAGAAAGCCACATCTTTCTCCCATGCAACAGCTGGTAGTTTTGAACTGCTGACTGTGAGGTTAGCAGTCCGATTCGTAACCACTACGCTACCAGAGCTCCTTTTTCAATTAGTAGCTGAGTGCGTTAACTGTTTACACAACTCAAGGACTCCAAATGCATGACCAGTCAGTGCAACAACCAGACGTTGCTGAGTCGATTCCAACTCATGGACACCCATGGGGTGCAAAGTAGAACTTCTCCCCAGAGTTTCCAATGGCTGCGACCTATCGAAAGCAGATTGCCAGGCACTTCCTCCAAGTCATTCTTTCAGTTAGCAGTTAGGTGTGCAACTGATTGCATCACCCAAGGGACTCCAAATGCACAGGAACATGAAATGACTCCAGGCAGTATGTATGAGACTGCTGAAGGAGTGAAGGAGTGTGAGCATCTCCGAAGAGGAAGAGACCATCTTATCCACCAAGAATGATCCAAGATGGAGTTATGCATTAAATTGTGTTGGCCATCCCCTCAAATTATGCTTCAATCCTTACCTCTGGTCCCTGTGAATGTGATTTTGTTTGAATATGTTAACAGTTAAGCTAACAGGAGAAGAGACACAGAGAGAAGGCGACCATGTGACACAGAACTACCCAAGGGATGCCAGACTTCAGAGAGACAAGACAGGATCTCCCTCAGAGAGAATGTGAAAGAATCAAGACACCCTGAATTTGGACTTCTAAGCCCCCAGAACTGTGAGACCAAAAACTTCTGTTTTTACACAGTCACCTGCTTTGTGGAAGCAGCAACTTCTTGGTGGAGGACTCAGGACGTAGGCATTTTGGATGGGCAGAATTCAAAGACCTGGATGGAGGGAAGAGAGTTTCTGAGTAGGGGATGTGGTAGGCTGTAAAATGACTCTAAAGATTCCAGGGACTCATTCCTGAAAATACTGTGGGCTGTCAGAAGAACACACAAATCTGTCTTGAAAGAAGTACAGCCAGAATGTTCCTTACAAGTGAAGATGAAGAAACTTCATCTCATGGACTTTGAACATGTAACTATTTCCTGGAGAAGGACATCATGCTTGATAAAGCAGAGGATCAGCAAAAAAGAGGAAGACCCTCAAAGACATGGACTGACACAGTGGTTGTAACAATGGGCTCAAACATGGCAGTGATGGTGAGGATGGGGCAGGAGGGCCAGGCAGGGTTTTGTTCTGTTGTACACGGGGCCACTATGAGTTGGAACTGACTCTATGGCACCTAACAACAGTAACAACGCCTGGAGTCATTGAATATTCTCTTATAAGGCAAAAGAGACGGTAGATATGAGTGGATTTAGAATCTTGCAGGGAGACTGCCCTAGATGACCTGGGTGGGTCCAATGTCATCACAGAAGTCTTTATGATAGAGGAAGATTGTTGTGGTTCAGAATCATCATGACCCTTTGTAGGGTTTCCAAGGAGCAGCTGATGAGTTTGAATCACCAACCTTGTGGTTGAGTGCTTATCCTATAGCACCACACTAGGAAAAAGATTGGAGACAGAGAAAGCTATGTGTTGGAAGCAAGAGAGCTTTGAAAATGTTCTGCTGGTGGCTTTGAAGATGGCGGAAGGGGCCATAAGGCAGGGAATACAAGGCATGCAGCTCTCAAATGTTGAAAACAAAACAAGAGCCCACTGCTGTGGAGTCCGATCCAACTTATACTTTACAGGACAGAGTAGAACTGCCCTACAGGCGTCCAGTGCCACAATCTTTATGGAAGCCGTTAGAAATAGGGGCAGGAATGAGACTGATAGTGTTGTAGTTGGTGCCAAGTTGGTTCCAACTCATGGTGGTGGTGGTTATGTGCTGTGGAGTCAGTTCCGACTCATAGCCACCCCGCACAGGGTTTCCAAGGCTGTAAATCTTTACAGGAGCAGGAAACCTCATCTTTTTCTCCTGAAACAGCTGGGAGTTTTGAACTGCTGACCTTGAGGTTCGTAGCATGATTCGTAACCACTATGCTACCAGAGAGAGGTCCAGTTCATAGCAACCTTATATATAACAGAACCAAACATTACCTGGTCCTGTCCCTGAACCCTTAATATTAGGGTACTTGCTGCTCACATTTGAAAGAATTCCCAACGGCAGCATTAGCAATTCCACAGAGTTTTATTTGCTATTGATCAAAAGCCAAAGTGGAGACAGTGGGAGACCAGATTCTCCCCAGGAGTACTTCCGGCTTGCTCAGAGTAGGGTGGTTTATATTTGTACTTATGCTAATATTGGGGTTGTTGTTATTGTTAAGTGCTGTTGGCCAGGTTCTGATTCATAGCAACCCTGTATAGGGCTTCTGCGGAGCAGCTGGTGGGTTTGAACTACCAACCTTGTGATCTACAGTCTAATGCTGATTCTATAGGGCCACACCAGGTTGTTGTTGTTAAGTACCATGGAGTCGATTCTGACTCATAGTGACCCTGCACAGGGTTTCTGAGGCTGTAAATCTTTACGGGAGCAGAAAGCCTCATCTTTCTCCAGTGGAACAGCTGGCAGTTACGTACTGCCGACCTTGAGGTTGTTGTTG